TTTTACCATCATACTGTCAATGTCAATGGCAGTGTCTATGGTCAAGCAGGACGACCGAATATAGGATTAAAATTCGCGGTAAAAATGATTATGGTCAAGCTAGATCACAGGGCAACCGCTATTTTAAAGGATACACAGAATATGAAGAAACAAAGATTTATATTACGAGTACTTTGTTGACCCCCGTCGTATGTTTATCGCACACACTCGTAAATAAATCAGAAAAACGTCACGTCCGCCAACAGAGGGCCGCGTGCGAAGTGATGTAGGCGGGTTCCGGCGTAGTTATATAATCGACGCCATTTGCATTTATTATCTGCGGTGCAGAAATCGATGGGCGTCCGTGAACGGAATTCCGGAAGTTATAATCTTATCTGTGTGTGTTGCTCCATTATTTAACGTCTCGTTTGTAGACAAGACTTTTTTATTCATGTTTCTAAACTTTTATTTTAACTTTTTTTGATTTCTCCAGGTGTTGAAGTGGAATTTGATTATGAGAACAAACCATAGATAGATAGCCAATATTTTTATGTACACGTAGTAGTAAAGTGGCTACCCAACTCTAGAATGTTTGGTGAGATACAAATAAGTATATCACGAGCAAAGAGCATAACTTATCAGTAATTGCAATTAGTTGTGTTTTTGGTACGTTCATTACAAGATGAAAGTTATTCAATGGTCAGTGGTGCCTCATCAGCGTTATGAAAATCAAATGTAGTTTATTTCAAGCCAATATCAACTTCCAAGCTTCGGGTGTATCCGGAACTTTTCAGGAGTCCAAAGATAATTCCACAATCGCCATTTCCTATCTCAATGAGGATTATCACTGTGTTAAAAGGTACCTCCTTCATATATTTTATTTATTTAAAAATTTATTGCTGGACCTGAGCTTACGCCCAGGGCTTCAATGGGCGAACTTATGCTTGACGACATTCTCTACTAGTCAACCCTAGTCCTGGTGACATAGATGTAGATGGCAGGTGCTGACCGAAAAATTAAAAAAAAAAGTTAAGAAACATATTCAGATTAATATTTATAGACAACTAGCGACCCGCTTCGACTTGGCGCGGGTGCAATGTATTATACATATAAACCTTCCTCTTGAATCACTCTATCTAGTAAAAAAACCGCATCAAGATTCGTTGCGTAGTTTTAAAGTACTAAGCATATATAGGGACAGATAGACAGCGGGACGCCTTTGTTTTATACTCCGTAGTTAAAAAATACACAAGTAATATGTATATAATATAGGGTGGCTTTTCTAAGAGTATCCATTTTTTTTATTAAATTCTAGACATAAAGTTATATAAAAAATGATAAAACTTTTAAAATCACTCGTAAGTAATTAATTACATTCATTTGAACTTATCTCAAAAAGTGCGTGATTTATACGCAGCTCATTTATTTTACGCGCGATCATTCATAACTAACACGCACACAAGTTCGTGCACAATAAAATTTAGGTATTTATGAATGACTACCGCATTGTCAACACGTTCTGTTTTTTAGGGAATAGAATGGCATTTTTTTGAAAAAAAAAACTTTATTTTTTAATTCAATAAACACAAAGTTAGAACCTCCAATGTAAATTTGGGCACTTCTCAAAAAATCTACCTGTATACATAATATGTCAATTCAGTTTCTATTGTATTGCGTTTGGCTTTGGTTCGACCGCTGATTTGGTTATAGATATGTCATTACAGACAACATAATAAATGAGAAATGTCAAGTACGCGTCATTTTTAGGCATATCTGAGAAGAGAGTTAGTGAGAGAGAAGAAAGATATGGCGTAGAAAAAGAACGATGTAAATATTAATACAAAGCGAAAGAACAAGACGCGCCGTGTAATCAGGGCCGGATTTAGGGGAGGGCAACCGGGGCAACAGTCCAGGGGCCTCCACAAACGAGTGGTCCCCACAATAGAGACTTCGGAAAAAAAAATTCAAAGTAAACAATAGTAAAAAACTTTTTCTTTAATTTTTTTTTCGCGTTTTACTATTACCTACAGTACTTTGTAAAAACATTACTACATTAAATATTAACAGAAATCACCTCCACTCCTTTGTTGCCCCGAGGCCTCCAGACCTCTTAATCTGACCCTGCGTGTAATTAATGCTAGTCATTGTGATCGGTGATTGTTTACGTTTTTAAAGAAGTACACTTCTATCATGTGTACGGCGTAGAGGTTTTTGTTCTCAAATAAATTTCCTATCATCCCTTTACTCGACTCACCGTCAAAGGGTCTGCAGCGCATAATTTCAATTTAACAGGCGACTTTCGTAAGGAGTCGTTTTTGTTAGCAATAGTCGTATGACTTGATATGTTAACAGTAATTGGCACGCGCGTGTAACCGGAAAGGTCTCTTTAGCTTTTTCTGGCAGATTTTTGGACTCGGTTCCTGCAATGAAATGATCACTATGAAGGATAGGACGTCGACCTTTACAACTCGTGACATTCGCTAGACCGCATGTAGGTAGGTACGCCCGCTTGGTCTGTTCTAAACCGATATAGCGGCCGTCAGTTTGATTTTTACCACAATTTTAATGTTCCACAGATAACTGTTGCAAATCTTGTTTGTGGTATCTTGTATCATGTATTAACTGATGTTTTTGCTTTTTTTTTTTATTTTTTTTTTTATTCATGAACTGGCTAGCACTTGACTGCCATCCCACCTGATGGTAAGTGGCGATGCAGCCGTTGATGGTAAGCGCGCTAGCTCAGTAGAAACTTATTCACTCTTGCCTTGAAGACGCCTACGTTGCTTTCAGTCCCGAGACTATTAAAGCTTCATCTGACGCCGACCCGGTGCGCTAGCTAGAACCCACGGGTTTGAGCTTGTTTGTGGTCTATATCGGCAATCAATAAAGATTGCTCCGTGGGGTTTAATAGTTCCGAAAATTCAGTTGATCACCTCTCGATTGTTACGCAAATATTCAGTTTGCTTTAAACTTAACTGTGTTCGGGCTATACATTAGGCCGCCAAAAGCGTATTTTGTTGTGAACCGTACCATAAAAACCTGTTTTATGGTTCCGTACCCAGAGCGTAAAACGGGACCTTATTACTAAGACTACGCTGACATCTGTCTATCCGTCTGCATGCTGTATCACAGGAACCGTGATAGTTAGATAGTTGAAAATTTGATGCAGATGAAGTATTTCTGTTGTCGCTATAACAACGAATACTAAAAAACAAAATATAAAAATATTTAAATAACGGTCATGTTTTGTATGGGAGCCCCATTTAATGTGTTTAAATGTTTTTCCCGTTTGTATATATAATGCTTTCCGTATCATCATCTATGTACGTTCGTGCTCGAGTCCGACTCGCACTTGGCGAGTATTAAAATCGGTAGGCCTTTTGAAACAATTGATACGATTTTCACTCGCCTTCATGCCAACCCCACCCTACTCAATATGGCCCGCTATGTTATCGCGGCGAACGAATGGCGTTATGCCCTTATTTTCCCACCATTTCAACACCCTATTGGCCGAGACGGGCTTAATGAATTCATTAAGGCGATAGCGCTTTTTGCTTGTCCGCGTCCGATGAATAGATGCATTTACTACCTCAATTAGAGAGCTCGCTTCGTAAGAACTTTTTCGAAAGCCTCGACTTGTTAAGGTAGCGGCGATAATTAAACTAAGGGTCGAAGTAAGGAATGAAATGTATTTTAGTTTTGTCCATGGCAGGTTTGGGTGACTTTCTTCAACGTAAACGTATTTGCGTAAAACATTTACCAATACGTAAGATTTCAGTTTAGCGTCATGAATTTGGGAGTTATTCGTAGGTGCGTTAAATAAATTAATACATAAATAAATTAATAAAAATAAGATATACTATTCATCTTAATGACGACCCGAATGGCGTAGTTGGTAGTGTACCTGCCTCCTGCGCGAGAGGGTGTGGGTTCGATCCCCACTACTGGAAAAATATTGTGTGATGAACATGGTGTTTTTCTATTGTCTGGTCGTTTCTATATGTATAATATGTATTTATTTACAAAAGAAAAATATATTTAAGTATGTTTATCAGTTTTCTAGTACCCATAGTACAAGCTTTGCTTAGTTTGGGACTAGAAAATGTTGTGTACAAATGTGTCCTAAAAAAATTTATTTATTATTTATTTATTTGTCGCGACCTACTTGTTGTTCTGGCCTAGTTGACATGGGGCAGGGAAGAAGTGAAAAATACTAAGTCTATAGCCCAAAAGTTCAAAAGGTGTAGGTTTCACGGTCTATTCATCGAGTACACCTCGTAGCAACACCAAGGCTCGCGTGACACAGTCTACGCCCAACGATGTTTTGCCCGATGGCTCGACGGCCCGTCGCCGCCAAACCCCGCCAAACCCCGCCATTTTGTTATTGCACGCAGCGTTAACAAAATGTCCACATGCTTGATACTGCTCACCAGTTCTGTGCCAGATTTACAGAGATTCACAGAGATTTACAGCGCAAACATCAATCAACAAAAACATCTGAACGAAGTCAATAAAACTAATCGTATTCCATCTTAGGTCGTGATATCTGTTAGACTCCACTGCTGAACATATGCCTCCCCACGGACTGCCACGATCCTGAATCACAGCATCCATCGACTTCCCGCACATTTGCGCAGGTCGTCACTCCATTTAGTGGGGTGCAGTCACTGCGGTGGCCAATCAGAGGCTGCCACTCGAGAACCTTTCGTCCCCATCGGTTGCCATTCAGCGTTTGATTGATTATTGTAGGACCACGCGTCAGTGTTTACTGTTGCACGAATGGGCAGGTCCGTCCGGGTAAGTACCACCACCTCACAGAAGACCGGCGCAAAGTAGATGTAACACTTCTGCGTTTCGTCTGGTGAGTGGGGTAGCCGGGGCCCATTTTATTTATAGGTGGCAACGTATTTGCAACACTGCGGGTGTTGCAAATGCCCATGGGCGGCGGTTGTCACTTAACAGGTGAACCGCATTTTCTCTCATAAAAAAGCGATATTCACAGTGTGCGTTTTATCTTATAGGAATCCGCAAAAGAATGGAGCCCTGCGTCAGACCGTGGCAGCCACCTGGACCGAGGGTACGGCAAGGTCACAGCCGACAGTCCGCCCTTCGTGAGGATCAACAAGAAATTAGGTAAGGGGGTGTAAATTTCTATCAATAACTAGCCTTTGCCTATCAGTAGAAAAGATAGTTATAGGTTGTTACAGCAGGAGATCAATAATGGTCGTTTTAACAATTAAAAATCAATTATTCCACTTGATAATCAGAGACTTGTAAGCTCATTTGAAGATTCATATTATTTAGTTAAAAAGTAAAAAAACTGCTGGGCAAGTTTTTTTACTTTATATATATATATTATTTAGTTACATTAAAATAAACACAATAATAATAAAAACCGGCCAAGTGCGAGTCGAACTTGCACACGAAGGGTTCCGTACCATTATCTATAAAAACAGCCAAAAAAAAATCATATGTGTAATTGTATGGGGGCTCCATTTAAATATTTTTTTATTATGTTTTTTAGTATTTTTTGTTACGAAATACATCATCTGTGAAAATTTCAACTGTCTTACTATCACGGTTCATGAGATACAACAGCCTGGTGACAGACGGATAGACAGGCATACAGAGGAGTCTTAGTAATACCCGTTTTAGTCTTTGGGTACGGAACCGTAACAATCGCCCTTCGCTTATTTCAAACGAAAAATAATTTACATCCACTTACCCAATACATGTCGCGTCTTATGTTGTAATGATTATGACATCCTGAATTGAATTTCACAAAATTCGAACTTAAACCTTTAGGTGGCTCCACGGAGAACCTGATCGTGGCCAATCTGCGCCCGAACCATCTGCACCTGCCGGCGTCTTCCTCTGGCGACAGCCTGGACGTTGAGGTCAGGGAACGGGAGCCAGCATATGCCAGGAGCAGGAAGTCCAGGTCGATGGTGGCGCACAAGCGGTCGCCTGTCCCGGCGCCGAGGAGGGTGCTTCCGCAGCCGGAGGTACTTTGAAACTTGTTTCTTTTTCAGGCCGAGTTACTGGAACTACACGAGCTGATCGGAGAAATGTTTCGTATGAGTTCTGTGGCTGGACCGCTAAATGGAAACCATCGGACACAGATCCTTGTTCTGCGGATCAAGTCAAATCAAGTCATAGTATCTTTATTCAATATAGGCTTAACTTAAGCCGTTATTGAACGTCAACAAAAAAAACTACCACCGGTTCATTAAACTAGAAGAGCCGGCGAGAAACTGTGCGGTGTTATTCTTCTTTCATGTTACCGTAAAATAAAAATATATACGGTCGAATTGAGAAACCCGCTTAAATACTTCATATTATCCAGCATGGTCTTTATCAACAGATGACTCCGTGGCGCAGTCGCCAAGGCATTGACTTCGGCGTCGGGGGTCGTGGGTTCGATTCCCACACGGGACAACTGTTTGTGAGACCCACAGATAGTTGTTTCGCACCCAGACGGTGTTTGTCCGCGTCAAATTTATGTTTGTAAAACGTCCTTACAACACAGGATAATGTTATCATAAAGTAAGGGCAATATAAAAAAGAAAAAAATTACAAATTGAATTAACTGAAATCAACAGACCAGAACAAAATCATTATCGCCTTATTTTCCAGGCTTACGAGAGGACGGAAGCGGCGCAGACCGCCAGCCAAGTTGTGGACGAGAGGCTGCTGAAGCGGACGAAGTACTCTGAGAGCGGGAAGAAAAGCAAGAAGAACTGGACCGACTGCTACATGGTGCTGACGAACACCGCGCTCTACTTCTACAAGGACCAGAGGACCTACCAGGCAACTGTGAGTGCAACCGTCCGCCCTTGTCTCTTGATCCTCATCATCATAGGCCACAGACTGCCACGAAGCACGATCCTGAGCCACCTGCATCCATCGTCTTCCCGCACATCTGCACAGGTCGTCACTCCATCTAGTGGGGGCTCGTCCTACAATGCTTCCTCTTATCCTATTATTTATTATTCAGTGTTTCTTTGAAACATGGAATCCGAAATTCTCTTTTCGTGTTTAATTATTTCTGTTCGTTACCGTTATTCAGGTATTCCCTGTTAAGGATTTTTTTAAAATTATACATTGCCCCCTTAGTTTAGGATAACACAATCCCGTGTTGTTAGTACGTTTCGCATAGATAATTCAATAAATTCACGTGGAAAAACACTCAGATCCGTAATCTGTGGGTCATATAAATGGTTGTTTAATGTGGGAGTCGATCCAACGTCCCCCGACGCCGAAGCCAATACCTCTGTAACGCACCACGCAGCCATCATTTACAGACCTAAAAGTACAATTCCCAAATAACCATAGATCCACACATTATTGTCATCTACTACCTGTGGTGACGGTCGGGAATATACAGTCTAAGTAGAAATACAATTCTTAGTTTGGGATTAAGAAAAGAGCTAATATAACACACTTCCTTGATTTGGTATATAATCGCTCCCGAATGAGAGCAGTTATTGACATATTTCTTGCCTCTAAGTTAGACCATAAACTGCAATGGGATTCTGATCAGCTCAGTAGGAATAGTAGAAGCAGTTCATTGAATTTCTTAAAGAAACTAAACACAGCTGCAGAACCCGTAAGTCAATGGGTCCTAGAAGCCTGATATGTTCGAGAGTCCACAATACAAAGCCCTGATTTAGAAAAGATTATGGATGAGTTACCCCCGAAGGGAATAAATTAATTTAGTGAATAGTTGACATTTAAATGAACCATGCTACCCTCGATCTAAGAAAACACAGAAATAGTTTGTTTAGTACAATAAAGATTGCTCAATCGATTGCGACTTCTTCCTCCTTCCATCTTCTTGAAGTGAAGAGTTCTCTTCTCCGCCACAGAAGATGCGCAAGCCGGGAACACCACCCAGTCCGACGGCGCCCCGAGCTGAGCTGATACTTCCTCTGCGCAACGCTCACGTGCTGCCGTGCATCCAGAGCCACACCAGAAGGTAACCATACAGGCAACGCGTAGACCTTTTTGTTATGTGAAAAGTTGCCAAGCGAGCAGACGGTTCACCTGATGTTAAGTGAATACCGCCGCCCACGGACATCTGCTACACCCGAAGGTTTGCGTATGCGTTGACAACCTTTTGAAAATTGGGCTCCGGCTACCTCACTCACCAGACGAAACGCGAAAGTAATTTACTTTCACTTTACGCCGGTCTTCTGTGAGGCCGTGGTACTTACCCGGACGAGCCTGCCCATTCGTGCAACGGCCGAGGCTGCTGCGTGGCCCTGCCACCGTAAGACCGCTATAATCACCCTTACAACTCGAGAGTTGACCAAGGATTGAGTGAATATACCCTTAAATTTGTAGAAAGAATGAAAGAAACGTTATCGCCGCTGTGGGAATCGAACCCACGTCTTCCGGGCTCTTTTACCACTTCCAGACGCTTTTACCACTAAGCTAAACGGTTGATTTCCACATAGACGAAGATCTCAACGTATTTCATCTTAAGTTTAACCCACTTCAGGTCGAAGGAAATATCACGGCATAATAGGTGTCAAACTAACAACTTTTATAAATAGATCGCAACAAACTGTACTAATAAATTGTTGATAAATTATTAATTAGACTAAATATGTACAATAATTGCAACAATATGTGTCATGTCCGATTCTCTATCAAGGGCGTCTCCCACCGTAGGTACAGCCGCTCCTTTATGCTGACCGTTGGCTACGACACCTACCTGCTGCAGGACGAGACCGATGATAAGGCTAAAGGTCTTCTCAAGCTCATACAGAACATCATATACAAGCTGGTGAGTGGAAATCTTGTGCCGCTAAACAGACTTTAACTGTTTGTTTTTGTTATGTTTTCATTTATTTTAATTTGTGCATCAATATATTCTGTGTAATACCACCGAGATAGACCGGCTCTGTCAAAAGTTTCCATAGCAGTAAGTATACATTTCGAATGATGTATTATATAGTAAGGTAAATCAAATGTTTGTATAACAAGAATATTAAAGTACCACCCGCTACATTGCGGATTATTACATCACATGTTTCAAATAGGTTTTTTTTATAATTTTTTTAATATTTACTAGAAAGTTTTTTCCATGGTGTAATTAATATCTCGTATTAGTTCGTGGTAAATCGGGATTTGACGCAACACCCCGTGACGGCACTGGGAGTTGAATTTAGTTTTCTGGAATAGACCGGAGATTTCAAACTATAATAGAAACGGCGTGCACTAGAGAAATATACATTTTCATATTAATATTCTGTGCGTCGATAAACGTCACGCTTTTTCATGTGAGAAGTTGGGAAGCGAGCTGGCGGTTCACCTGATGTTAAGTGATAACCGCTGCCCATGGACATTTGCAACGTAGGGTTGCAGATGCATTGCCTTTCAATAGTGGGCCCCGGCTACCTCACTTATAAGACGAAACGCAGGAGTATAACACTTGATACTTACCCGGACGGACCTGCCCATTCGTGCAACAGCCGGTGTAGCCAGAGTTATACTGTGATATTAACGTCTGATATACGAAGACCTAAAATCACATTTGCGACGTAAACGCCTTAACTTCATCAGCGGTGGCATCTCTTCGTCAGAGGTGACAAAAGCGTACCAAAGGGTCAGGCTACAGGGTCTGATGGTAAATGTGTTGGTGGCAGGGTCCGCCGACCCTGGACGAGTATCCAGTGCCGCAGCAGAGCAGCAACACGGACCTCGAGAGCCTCGGCAGGACGCCACCAGCCGCCCGCCACACGCCGCGAAACAAGCACAAAGGTACGTCACCACACCACCACCACCACCACCACCACCCACATCCCCCACAGACCGAACGTATAATCAAGATCGCATCATCAGCTCGAATGCAACGGACAAGGTACCCACTATCGCCATCGCCACACATCCTTTAGCGTTGAATACATCCCTAAAACACTACAATGACATTTATCCTTACCTACCATCGATGTGCTACTATCCGAACACATTACACTTGCCATCTCTATATATAAAAATGTATCAACCGATTTCGGTAATTTTTTTTTCAATATTCCTTGAACTACGATGATGGTTCTTACGGAGAGAAAAATTTAAAAAATTGCCTGAAAAAGTCTAAAAACAACACAAAAAACTTTTCTATATTTCCGTACAAAAGATTCGTAATAATACTTAAAACTCAATTTGAACTTTAATAACATACCATAAAGTTTTAGTGTTAGTGGAGGGGTTCCGGGAAGGCAAAACAAGTGAGTGACAGTGGTAAAATGTCACTTGAAATGTAATCGTCTCTTTGCTGTGCATCACAACATAGTATAAAACAATTCGTCCCGCTGTGTCCTAATGTATGCTTAGATCTTTAAAACTTCACCCGTGCGAAACCGGGGCGGGGTCGCTAGTTACAAATAAATGAGACTGAACCACTGTCAGATTCCGCTACAATAACAAATATCCCAAATGTAATACCTTTTTCGGGTATTGTGGTGGGAATCTTCAAATGTGTTATGCGGGGTTCTTACCCACTAAAACCCCCTCGGTAGACACCTTCTGTCCTTTTGTAATAATAATCTCCCACGGAACACACCGTCGTCCCTCGGTACTGCGCTTGAACACTGAGAAGGATAGACCTTCTGCGATTCCCTCGCCATCTTGCAACAACTCGACTGCTGTCAGTCCGTACGTGTGCTCTGCTTGTCGCCTTTTGCCACAGGGGATACCTTAGCCATATTCTATGAGCGCGGGACTACAGGGCTGACATGATATACCTACCACACAACCAGTGTCAGTCTACTCAATACCCCGCCATGTTCCACGAAATATATCAAATAAACGTTGCCTCCCACCTTTCGGTACCAAACTATAGCAATATTAATTTGCTATAGTTTGGTACCGAACCCAATACGGTCATCCGACAGAACCACACGTTCCGCATACAGAACAATCATACACTACAATATAATCACACCAAACAACACATCAAATCGTCATATGCTTGCTTTTCCCAAACCGCCACCAAACGAAGCTTCTTCCGATTTGATACCATCAATTACAAAGAATTACAATTTCCCTTCACAACGAAATACATTCCACATAAAACCAACAACGTAACTCATCATTATCACGTGTCATTATCGCTGATAAAACAATACTTGTCTTATATCTGATACCACCTACTAATTAATATTACTACTATTAGTACAAATCCAATATCACCACTGGTAAAAGCGATTTTTGGTGTTAATTGCGACGCCATTACTGTCAAACAACACACATTTTTTTACCACGGACGTACTAGGTCATCCGTTATAATTTCTCGCGCAGTATCTTACCGAACGTCAATATGGCGATGTGGAAATAAGTAAATTATGTAAGCGCTAACCCATGAAAAGTATTTTAATTCTAGGATGATATTTTTTTCTAAAATTTACCTAATATCTATCAGTGTTATCGGCTTCGTTAGATGTGACTTTTTCAAACCACTTTAACTTACAGAACGTCTTTAAAAATAATGTTAGTGGAGCATTACCAGAGTTGAGATATAGCGATGATGGCTTGTTGGGTATTTTTGATTGTACTGGAATAGTCCAGAGTAGTTCTAGATCTAATATAATTAGATATAGATCTAATATAATTAGGTAAGAAACTGCAACGCACAGTACACCGCGATCTATTTTTTAGTTTTTAGGGCTAGTTTTAAGTTGGAGAATGTTGCCATTACTTAAAACTCTACTAACATTTAATGCTGCAACTAAGTATTAGTTTACAAATTATATTTAATGTTGCCAATTGTATTGATCGATAGAGATTGCGTAGAATAAGTAAATCTTTTATGGGACACGCATACGCTTTCACAACAAAATCCGAGAAAACGTTTAAAACGAATCCGTGGCTAAATTCAAAAAACTTGTAAAGGAACGTTTGTGTGTTAATGGCTATTATAGTATTAGTGATTAATTGAATGATAACATACTCTGGAAATGAATTGATCGCTCCAGGCTCTTTCAAGTGGAATTTAATAAATTGTACACATATTTGTAATTTTTATTGTAAAGTAAAAAAAAATGTCCCGCTTTTTTTCGCCGGTTCTTCTCAGGTCAGTGGCTTTCCTTCTGAACCGGTGGTAGTGTTTTGACTATCAATAAGCGAGTGTATGCTTTATTGAACAAATATATTTGACTTTGACTTTCTAAGGTTATCATCATTTAACGTTCTTTATTGAAATGTGAGTTAAATGAAGTATTTTCGTAAACCAGCCCATTAATTTGAAACTATTGATTATTTTTGCCTTTTGTAGACAGGTCAATTTCTCTATAGAGTCTAATCATTAATTTATAGAAATTATTTGATAAGCTCCTTTAAGGAATAATGTAATTATTATTTAACACCAAAGATTTCAAATAAATATTTATATAGTGTTTGAAAGTAAAGTACGAATGAATCTAATTTTACTATTATTCCTACTTTACCTAACTTATGTTTGGCGATCCTATCTTCAAAGCCTAAGAGGCTTCACGTTCTAAAAAGGCGTAAAATAGCCAATACTTTTGTACAAAGTTTAATGTTTCACCGTAAGTGGAGAGATTAGCACTGAAGAAAATTTTAATATAGCAATAGTGGCGTCTCGTTGTAAAACGATATTTAAAATTGCTCTAAAGGATATAACAGTAGATGTGTCAAGCATTGCTTAAAATCCGAAATAAAAAGAGAAAAGATAAAATACGTTGAGATTTTCATCGGCGTAGCAATTAGCCGTTTGCCTTAGTGGTTAAAGGCGCGCATCCGGAAGACGTCGGTTTGATTCCCACAGTGGCGAGAAACTTTTCGTCCTTGTTTCGACAAATTTTAATCAATATTTTTAAGTAATTAATTAAAAAATCTACTAGGTCTCGGGCGCCTAAAATTAATTTAGAAAAATCAAATCTCAATTAGCTAGTCTCAATGTCGACGGTAATAATTAATTGTTTGTCTATTTGCGCGGCCTAGTACAAACTGCTCGTTAATTACAACCACCTATTTTTCATTACCGTTTCGTGTATGACGAATATTCTGCTGTCACACGAGTGATTAGCCGGAATCGGCAACCGATGGTTTTCCTTGTTCAGTCGCCTGTGGTCTATGACACGGAATGTGCCGCCATTTTCGGAGTGTCATGGCCGTTAAACCGTGTTAAAATTATAAAACAGAAGACATTTTAACCGTGCAGTTTCTGAATAAGATTTTATTGGGCAAAGAGGAGGTGGTTTTAGAGAAAACTTTTTACATCACTGTTGATATGTGAGTTTAAGGTTATAAGTTTATTTACGGAGTTATTTCGACATGTTAAAATTTAAAAAGTGTCGTGGCAGTAGTGATGCGTTCATTTGAACTATGTCTTGCGGATGCGTTCACGCCTTCCGGTTAATTCGATCATGTAAGAATTTGAATGGTATTTTATGTTCACTTACTTGTACACCATTTTCTGGTCATATTCGAGATAAGTTGGGTTAATACGTGAATCGACAGATACACTATTTATCTCTAACCGCAAGATAAATTAATGGCCAAAGAGACAGTGAATTTTAGCTGTATGCAGATGCTTTCGAAATGTTTTCCGTGAAGTTTCATAAACTTTTACCTGCTTTGTAATGCTTTCCCAACGTTTTTTTTTATCTTGAAGAATAAAGATTACATGTTATGTTGTAAACAAAACTATATACGTCTGTAAATAGGACACTATGTAGCAATATCGCTGTTCGTCCTATTTACGCAATGTACTTTGTAATTTGTGTACAGGTATGCATGTACAGCAAAGCCATTTTTATAATTTTAACATGCAATTAAGAACTTGCTCTAATTTAAATGAAACCTGTATATATCATTACTATGTCGATAAGTTCTAACCATAGATCAATATCAATCCTGTAGAGATAACCAGATATTTTTATGACGGTCCTTTTGAATATTATCTCTTGAGCTTATATCTTAACTAATAATTTTTAAACATAGATAATACTTTCATCAAGGACTTAATGTTAAAATATACTATGAAAAATAGAAATGAATATAGCTATGGTTAGCGAAGCAAATAAAACCTGAGATTAGTTAACTAAACCCTGGTTCTGATAGAGCATTTACCTTCTTAGAATTAGATTCTATAGTTCTATCTATAGTTTAATTAAATGTAGATAATATCTAACTTATTATAGTCTCGACTCCGAAGTTGCTGTCGACTCCTTCTTTTATTTCTTAATTTCTCTCGCTTTTCCCGCCATATACTCCATTGACCACGCTACTCGGCTGACACGAACAGTTCCCTTGGCCATTGGCTCGAGATACTGCGCAGCTTATCTCCGATAAAGCGCTGATACGCACCACGGGCTAATCTTCAGTGCCCGCCCACTGTTCGCGCGCGTCGCACGTGCAGTAAGGCATGATGCGTCCAAAACTGTACGGACACCCCGCCGCGGGACTTTGAACCTTGTCGCCGTGCAAATGGAACACGAAATCGTGCACGTCGTCTCGGAGTTCTGGCACGCCGGCTCCGGGCCGATGCCTGACAGGCCCAAGAAGAGCCCGACGCAGAAGCAGCACTCCAAGATCAAACAGTTCTTCGGGTCGCACACCAATCTAAAACGTATGCCCGCACTTCGGTATTGTGGTCTTTGTCTCGGCGTTCCGTCACACGCGTCGTAAAGGCGTGTGCGGCCGAACATTTATGGTAGGAATCCATTATGGAGACGTGTGTGACATGGTAGGTGCGAATCAAAGTACGCGAGTAGTACAGTGGCTAACACTGATGACTTGCCGTTGTCTTTTTCCTTTCGTGCGTAATACGATTGGGATTTTGATTTGGGATGCAGGTGTACTTCCTAATAGGTTTGGAATGGTGTGCTAAAAATGCTTTTAACCGTCTCTATTTTTAATTTGGTCTTTCGTTTAGGTGAGGAAAGGTGATAGTTTTCCTATATCACAGCTACGTTGCACGGCCGGAACTTATACTAATCGTAACATTTTAAAACTTAACACACAATATCTATATAATTAATTAGCATACGAAATACTAACATTAGCCACAGATCAGATCCAATCGTGGTTCCATTTCTTTATTATTATTGTTTTTATCTGTGAAATTGATTTGCACTTGACTACAATGACGCCACATTTCAAAAAAGATAACGTAACAGCTTAGATGTCAAGATAAATTATTATTTCGTCACAAAATAATTTACTTCAATCTTTATTAGCTATAACAAAGATTAATTTTTTTTTTCGGTTAATTTTTCCTATAAACATAAAAAAGGCAATTATTTAGTTTATATGCTTACGTCTTCAACAAGTGTGTGAAGCATTTTACTTTAAAAGTTGCTGGTTACAAAAAAAAAGTTGAAAAATCCAGTCAAAATAGGCATAGATATAAAAAATAAACCATAAGTAACATATTGTCTTCATACGCTTTGTGAGAAAAGCAACGAAATGACTAATTATGAAATCATATTTCATCTTATTATGAATCACTAGTACATACTTATAAAGATATTAAAGATACCGTTTAAAATACTTACTTAGGCTTGTTGCTGTTTTAGAAATTAGTAGCCCATACAGTATATACGTTACATATTGCACGTTATCTTTATGATAGATAAACGCAATCTCAAGTTATCTGAAAAAGCTTGACCAATTGCGTTATGTTTTGTTTTCCTAACCTAAAAAATGCGACTATGTTACTATTTTTTGGGCTTGATTAGCCACTGTTGGCCTTAGGGGCCTTAACGGTTACGCCGGAATTGATCATTCGCCGGACTTGGTTACTTTTTTCAAATATTTCACTTTTAAACGAGGGCGCGTAGTGTGAGAATTCGTCGATACATCAAAGCGGGAAAAGGCGGGAATGAAGAAGACTAACTATATTTTTTTTTTGTGTAAACCTAATTAATAGTTCAACAGTCCTCTTCACAACGATACATATTATCGTCTAAATTGCCATTTATCGCTAATTTTTTGAACGATTCGTGGCCTTTTTACAAATCTAAGCCATTACAATATTGTAAATAGTTGGAGTCTATTGGAAATATTAGTTTATTTATTGTTACAAAATAACTTTGTCGGTATTCGAATAATCAGTTTTGACATTAAGAAAATCGAGTTTTTTTTTGCTTGTACTTTAAAAAAAACTAATATTATAAAGTGGTAAAATACGAAGAGCATCGTGATAAGGTAAATTGTTCATAATTCGTCTATTGACATGTCATGTGATTGTCGGGGTCTAACGTTATTGTACCATTTCTGCTGCCGTTTATGTGCTCAGTGTCATAAAACCGGTTCGGGGCTATTTGTTCGTGAAACAACTCTAAGATTACATCAGTCTCCGTACTAAACATTTCGTGTCGTTAACTTTACAAATTTTACTCTTACCGTCAACTAACTTACATCATACTCTCAAGCTACATGTGGGTACGCTACTCATTTGGCTGTTGGAAAATCTAGCCTTCCTTCAACTAGGGATGTCGAAAGTGAACAAATATATCGATATATCGATATTTATAAAATTATCAATATCTGCTTCGACATATCGAAGAGGAAGTATTGATATATTGAATTTTCTGTTTAGGATCCGTTGTCCAAAAAAAAAGGTATGTCAAGTATTAAATATTTGGCTTGTATATGTACAAGTGTACATGTAGTACTCTGTGCCGGATTCGAATTTGAAAAAATATCTTTTTTGTTATGATTTCGATATTAAATATTTTATATCGATATATCGGATCCAAAAATATCGATATTCAAAGCAAAAAAATATATATTTTCGACATCCCTACCTTCAACTCTCCCTCTGCTCGGCTTTTCCTCTGCTTCTCTATCGTCTCCTCTCGCTGCCTCTGACCGCTTCACTGTTTTCTTGTTGACTCTTTCAGCCGGTGGGAGTAGCAACGAGGATCTCAGTGACTCCACTGAGGTCTCCACACAGAAATCTCAAGTGACTAAAGTCCTGAGGAAATTCTTCCCGAAGCGGCCCACGATGGAGGACCTCGTGAAGAAGGGAATCTACAAAGGTTCGGACCGCACTTATGTTGTGTAAAGCTAGAACGGTGGAAAAGCGCGATTTGACCGATTGATTTTATAAGGACGATTGGACCTGCTATGTAGTTAGTGGTGGGTCAAATATGGCAGTGCTGCAAAGTAACATAACAACAACACGTTGTAGTTTTTTGTGACGTATAATAAACTGTTATAGTACTGCTATATTTAAACCAACACTAAATAGCAGTACCGGGTAATAGTGATTGGTTTAATTTAGCATATACAATATACAAACAGGTACTTGTATAGCAATACATAAGATATAGCAGTGCTCTTTAACAGTTTCGTTTCGTTTCCGTAAATGAACGTACATTTACAAATTCGCATAGTGATGTACAAAATATACCGGTCCTAAATGCTTGCAGGAATTTTACAGAAGACAATTCACCGCTTTCTTTTTGTAGATCTTGCTTACACCACGCTTGTTTTAGGTGATGGTTTTGCTTTAATCAAATAATTTTGGTTTCCGTACAAATTGGGTGTGGGAAAATAATGTGTGTTTTTATAAAGTTGACAATTTACAGTGCAAAAGATGTTTTATATAGGTATATTAATAATACAGGTACAGTACGCAATTAAAACGAGTACACAATGAAAAAGGGTATATTTCTCAGTTATTAAAATCTTATATATTATTGAACTGTTGATTCACAATTAAATTCCTTTGTTTCAAAATCTAAAAGGTTTTTGGGAAAGTTATTTGGATTTAATCATAATATCAGTTTAAATTTTTGAATTTGCGTTGTTTAGGACATGGAATTTTTATGTATAATATTATAGAAATTTTACTAAGACATATTTGTTTAATAAACACTATGGCTGGTTTTATTTTTTTTCTGCACCTTTTTCCTTTTTTGTTATTTTTTGCATAGCAGGATGGTAGAAGTAGATTAGTGTAAAATATGGTTTGTAAATATTCTGTCATTTTTTATTTCCGCTTATTTTATATTTCATTCTATAAACGAATTTTATTTATGTTCAGAAATTATATATAATTTTCTCGGTTCTAGTATTTAATATTAGACATATTTGTTGTTCAAAACATGTATTGTAACTTTATTTATATTGTTTTTGTAAAAATTATAGATATTCTGTATTTTTAATGGCATTAAAAATACAGAGTATATAACAAAAGCTTAAGGTACGTTTTTTGTTTGTGTACTCTTTAAATTACACTATTTTTGAGGTTGATTTTGATTTTAATTTAATATTGAAGGAATTATACGGTTCAATATTTATTCATAATTTTGTGTTCCTTCCAGACTTAATTGCTAGGACGAGTACTAGTCAACTTTCAATTTAATTTTACTTAAAAATATCTTGTTAAAGTAATCGCGTAGAGCACATATTATCAAAGAATACAATACATATCTCGAATATTATCATCTATTATTAATCAAATAATATTATCAATCTCGACAATTTGACGGAACAACAAAGCATTTTTTTATTATTCTTATGGGTAATGACTTATAATTCACGCACACACACATACATACTAAGTGACACAATTGTTTATAGATATGTGACGACGCCTGCGAACCAATCGCCACGTGCATTAGGCAGTGTTACAAACTGTTAAAAAAACAATACTCCTAAAGCAATACAAAAACGCACTAAAATTCACAAAATTTCCAACAGTAAAATTTTTTTTTATATTATCGAATATATCTGACAAAATTGAGTAGTCGTACTATTTAATTCCTTAAAATATTCTTTCTAAATTTAAGGAATAAACAAATATAATAGGCCTTCACTACTTTAAGTTGGCATGCGTCGCACTACGTACATATATCCGTGTTCCAGGACAGTTCTTACCTTTTGCAGCCACCTATAAGTTGAAGACTTAAGCCGTGATAGCTCAGTGTCCGGGCGCTCGCATCTAATTCAATTTACTCGATTTCGAACCCCGGTGCCAGCACCAATGAAATCTTTAAATTTAAGCTGTCTTATCAGGTGCTCGGCGCTAAAGGAAAACGTCAGGAAACCTGCATATTTTCGAAATAATAACGAGAAAAAACGAAAATATGTGAAGTCCGCCAATCGGCAGTGGGGTCGCGTGGTTGACTATGCCCAGATACCCTCTTTAGAGAGGAGGCCTTTGCCCAGCTGTGGGATATAGGATGTTACTTTACTTTAAGTCCGGGATCTTCATTCCGAAATTATTAGATTTAATCTACCCTTAAATCAGAATGAAAGGGCTCCGAGACCAATGATGACTTACATAGCCTCTGGGGCTCATGGTGATGTCAATCGTGGTATGTTGACTACTTACCAAGTACGAATGACTGTTAATGGGTCGATGTATGGAGTTGAGCTTTAAGTACCTAGAAATTTAAATTTTACTGTGCTAATCTCTGCACTTAAGATTAAACATTAAAATTTGCAGAAAAAGTACGAGAAGATTGTCGCCGCTGTGTGCTTATGTAGCTAACTTAAAATTTTCAATCAAGGGTAATGAAAACGTAAACAACCATTCAGTGAAACACCGTAAAATCATGCTTCAGTGGTTTTACAAACAGGTATTATGTTCGTATATATGTATTTAAAACAGTAATTATAAAACCAAAAAAGCACGTATATCAGTTTTACAAATAAATGTACGTGACTCAGTTAAAGAGTTCTAAGGCTCCTTGAACTTGAAAAACCTTTTAATTCTAACCTATTAGTCAGAGGTACAGCAGAGCCCTTAAAGAATAACTTGTGATCACCTGTCGCCTTACATCAGTTATAGTGTCAGTGTTTACTGGATTTTAAAAATTCAAAAACGATCGAATCACCGGTGTGGAGAACTACAATTGACCATAACGATATCTCGTAAGTCAGGTAGTAAATTATACAGGATTGTCTGATAATTGTGCGCTCATAATATCTATTAAGATTTTCTAAAAGGTTAGAGGCAGAGGTGCTTTAAATATAAGCAATCCAAGATCAGGCTTAACCGAGTATCGATACCAATCCTAATAGCTAAAGTTATCGGTCGCGCACACAAAATATAAGCCCTAAAATATTTATTCATTTCCTTGTTAACAAGTCTGTAATGATGCTTTACAGATTAAAATAATGCAAGTTAAAACGTAATAGACGTGTCTAGATGTAATAGCAACTTAATTAACTATGCTAACGTTAAATTTGAATCGCGATAGCCAGCTAACTCAGTCAAAACCCGTGGGTTCTGGCTAGCCCACCGGTTCTGCGTCAGATGAAGCTTTAATAGTCTCGGGACTGAAAGCGTGACAATCGTTCATTCATTTAATACAACATACAGCAGGTTATTCAAAAAGGAGCCTTGTTCCCATTGGCAGATGAGCCAGTTTTCGGGCGCAAGCTGGAGGAGGTGTGCTCGGAGACCAGCCCCAGGGTCCCGGACTTCGTGCGGGCCTGCGTGAAGGAGATAGAGAGCAGCGAGGAGAATATGTGCACGGATGGATTGTACCGAGCCAGTGGCAATCTGAGCCAAGTGCAGAAGATACGACTAGAGGTGAGTATATATTTGTTCTTGTTAGTGCCGGAATGGAGAGTTTCGATAGGTCTCCCGTTACGACGGTCAGGGCCGGTTTTAGGGGAGGGCAATAGGCGCTACGGCCCCGGGGCCTCCATAAGAGAGGGCTCCCCAAAATAGAGACTGGAAAAAAAAATCAGACTAGTGAACAACTTTTCCTTTCATATTTTTTTTCGCGTTTTACCTTTATCCACAATACATTTGTTGTGAAACCAAGTATGGTTCTACAATAAATTATTTATTGGAAAAGTCGACAGAAAAAAATTGTTAACTTTCTTGGAAAATAATTTGGCACCAAGGAGTCTCCACTCCTTTGTTGCCTCGAGGCCTCCAGACCTCTAAATCCGGCCCTGACGACGGTATCCCCCGATAGACCTATGATCTAACCAAGGTTAGATAAAGTTATAGCTATTTTTAGTTCAGTTAGATCTTTTGTTCAATACTTCAATACGCTAGACAATGTTTTAACTGTACCATGTCTTCTTTCGTCTTATAAATCTTCCCGGAAAGCTGATTACGCAGTTATAGTATGGTATGTTAGTAGTACGGTATGGACACGTTTACATAAATGGAGAGGCGAACTTTATTTCGCTATAGTATCAGTGTGAGAGCGTACTCTTACACTGATACTATAGCGAAATAAAGTAACATAACAGGCAATACATTTCATTGCTGAGCTCTTCAGCTGGTACCTTCTGAAAAAAAAAGCCCGCTGAGTTTCTTTCGCCGGTTCTTCTCAGTGCAGTTTCTTGTCCGAACCGGTGGTAGTATTTTGACTATCAATAAGCGAGTGTAATACTCCTATGTAGAATAAAGATTTTGATTATGTATTAATGCCCGCCTTCATACTTCGCACATCGGAAGTTTTTGTTATTATTATTCCTCAGATAAGTAGGTATCGTTACGATATTGAATTTATTATCTCCCTATCGAACAAAGCACGATTCTTAGTGATAACTTCCCCTTATCTAGTTGGGTCCACTCTAACAATCCGCCAATTAAACAATATCCGTAATTGAATTCTCATAAAATACCAACAAATCGACGCCTTTTCTGGAGTGCTACATGGTCAAGGGTTCCTTTAGCAGGTATTGGTACGACAAATATATTTTCGGGACACATTTCCACACAACGTCATCTAGTCCCGAACTAAGCAAGGCTTGTACAATGGATACTATATACAATAAACATACTTTTCTTTTGTAAATAATCACAGTATTACAGATATATAAACACCCAGACACTGGAAAGAGACAATGTTCATCACACAATATTTTCAAGTAGTCGGAATCGAACTCACACCCTCTGGCGCAACAGACAGGTCCACTGTCGGTTCGTCTTCATTATTATCAGCCGCAAGACGTCCACCTTTCAACATCGGCCGCCCCCTTAGAACGCCACAACGCACGACACCGCAATTTGCATCCACCTGTTGCGAATCTTACGATGTCGTCCGTCCACCTATAGGGAGGCCTTCCAACGCTACGTCTTCCATTTCGTGGTCTCCACTCGGGAACCTTCACTCCCCATCGGTCGGTTCTTCGAACGATGTGTACCGCCCACTGCTGACTCCGGGTTGTCTTGACAACCCCCAATCACCACCCACAAATGCCCGTTGCAGATCGACCAGAAGAACCAGTCGGTGATAGCGAACAACACGGACATACACGTGCTGACCGGCGCCCTCAAGCTGTTCTTCCGCGAGCTGAAGGAACCGCTCATACCCTGCACCAAGTTCGACAGGGTCCTCGCCGCTTGTTGTGAGTGTCCATCCTTACTTCATTACTAATATTATGAAGGCGAAAGTTTGTATGTATGGATGGATGTTTGTTACTCTTTCACGCAAATACTACTGAATGGATTTTAATGAAACTGTACAATAATATAGCTTATACATCAGAATGAGACATAGGCTATAATTCATGTACATATTTTATGTATATCTGTCTTTATGTCTGAATGTTACGCCTTCAGCCTAATCTACGCAGAAGTAATCGCAGGCAGCTACTAGTAATGTAATACAGCTGAAATAAGTCGCGTGCACTCCATACTAATAAAAAGCATTGCATACCCTGTCGTCCGATATAAACATTCCCCAAAATACAGATGTTAATTATTGTTAACTTGCGACCCGCCCCGGCTTCGCACGGGTGCAATTTATTATACATATAAGCCTTCCTCTTGAATCGCTCTATCTAGTAAAAAAACTGCATCAAGATCAGTTGACTAGTTTTAAAGATCTAAGCTTACATAGGGACAGACAGAAAGCGGTACGACTTTGTTTTAAACTATTATGTAGTGATGATAAATATACTTTTGCTTTTCCGTATTTATTGATTTCAGCGCCGTCTATTACTGCTTTTGCATTTAAGCAGCTATTATCTCAGCTTAGTTTTGTTTAAAAAGAGTCGTGAAGAAAACATTTTTGAATAGTCTTATATGCAAATGTTTGTTATGCAAATGATGAGGTATTTAGTTATTATACCTTTCGATTTCGTCAGCTGAATCTGGCAACCATTAGCAAGAATTTACTAAGAAAGGATTAATTTAATTAGGTAGTTTAAGGGATTTATTTACTATAGCACTTAGCAGATAACTTATTAATACTTTATTTGTTTGCAGCAATAAAGCCAAGGGAAGCGAGGATCAAGGAGTTTAGGGAGATCATTCAATCGCTGCCAGAATGCAATCGAGACACGCTTAAGTTCCTACTGGAGCATCTGCTCAGGTACTTACATGCTTTGGAGAATAAATCTTATATAAACCCCTTTAATTAAAATAACAAAAAGTAAAGTACAAGCCTATACATGTCCCACAGCTGAAAAGGCCTCCTCTGTTCGGAGGGTATTAGAGGATAGTCCACCACGCGACCTCACGACAGAAATGGGACCTATATAGGCTGTCACTTCTCGCCAGTTCAAGATATCTTACACCAGACCTTCGATGTGATTTCGATTCTCCAATCTCTTATCTATACATGTATCACGATGTCTTACATTATTATTCGCTATGACCTTGCCGTTCAATTCTCCAATCTCCCTATACTTAAGGGTTACGCAGTACAGCGAGCGGAACAGGATGCACACGGCGAACCTCGCGATAGTGTTCGGGCCGACGCTACTTTGGGCGCCCGCCGAGCAGGCGCACAACATCGCCATCGACTGCATCCAGCAGAACAACGTGGTGGACATACTGCTCAACGACTACGACGACATCTTCGAGCCCAAGAAGAAGGCGTGACTGCGACGGGGCAGTAGACCGCGGGGGCCAGTACTGCAGGGTCCGTTGGGCTGTACTGTGCTGCAGTAGACTAAGAGGCCGCTTCGTTGCAGTGCACTGGACGTCGGCTGCAGTTTGCGGTAGACTGCATTAGACCGGGGTAGACCAGATAGAACGATGCACCGCTACAGTTCTCTTAGGAACCAGCTAGGCTCGAGTAATGCGGCTGTTTATCACTGTGGACCCGATTCTCCCAAAGTACCAAGAATGTTTATTCTCCCTAATGTTGACTTGGGTGCGATATAGAGAGATTTATAGCGTCATTTATTATAACCTTTAACAATATAAGACATTGTAGTCCTTGTATTTTTGATGTAATGATGTCTGGTACTATTAAGTCGCTTATATAATAAAAAATAATAGTTAAGATTATTGCGAATATAGATTTTATTTAATATAGATTCCTGCTGTGACCACGTTCCGGTTTATTTTATATAATTGTATATAGGCCTATATAGCGGCCGGTCTACCGATTGACCTTGGCATATCGATAATTTAAATTTATCGATATCGTGCACCTTCGCTTCACTATTAGAGTGCGAGCGAGAGGTCCAATCGGCTAAATCCAAGTTACAGTTTGATTGTTTACGTTTAATATATTTTATTTGAATGTAATATAAAAAATGTATAATACATATTTGCTGGATGCGTTAGCGATTTTTTTAAGGTGTTACATTTTATTTTAAACAAAATGACGCTGCTTCTATATCATCAAAGTTACTTTCTGCAATTACCTATTTATCATAGTTTTAAAACTAACTAAATAAAAATACATAAGTTGCTTTAGTCTTAAAATTATATTTGAAAAGTTTATAATTATATTAATCTCTATTTCCATAGACTTAAAGAAATATTAGCAAACTTTGACAGCGTCATTTCTTTTTTTTAGTCTCTTTAAATTTTGGCGCCTTAATATCGGTGTCATTTTGTGTAAACGTTAATGAAAAAGGTCGCTAATGAATTTAGTTTTTTTTAGAATGTATTATTTAATAATAAAGCTATACGGTGTGTTTCTTGTAAATATATATTGTGATAAATCGGGAATAGATTTTACTCTTTGGGCCTGAATGATGGATTTAGGAAGAAATATTGATCTCCGCGTTTGTTTAGAACTCCATCTGTTAATGAAAATGACCTGAGGGGGTTCGATGGAATCTTTTTTTCTTTATGGTCCAACGGATTGGGCGTTTCGAGGTATGTCTTACTAAACTATGGAGTGATAATGGTGAATTATGATCGCGCGCTGATTCTTTTATTTTTCTTCGTTTTTTTATTATTTTCGTTTTAAACGACTGAATGGGAAAACGTATCGTGCAAACTTTTTTTTTAAATATTTAACGTGAAATTTGTTGTTCTGTATTGTGCCAAAACAAGTATGAATAGCGTTAAGAGTGTGATAAGGTGGTTAGTGTTGTATATAAAGTTATCATTAATGCCATTTAAAAAAAACCAGGAGGTTGTTCCCAAATTATACAAATAAATATATAATCAGAATATGTATTAATTTGAAAGTAGTATTTATGAAATAGCGACGTTATTACTTAACCTTTATAACCCTTCACCATATTTATTCAATATAAATTTACCAAATTTCATTATATATTGGAACTTTTTAATTAATATCGAGGAATTGGCTGCGCGATCGCGTTCCGGTATAGTTTACGAAAAGACTGTCGGAGGCTCTTAATTAAGTGATGCGATTCGCAGTAAGTGCAGTGTGCTGCATATAGGGTGTCTCAAAATGTGATTGACGGAAATTCGTGCTCCGCCGACCCTAAGCAGTAGTGACTATTGACTGTTAGAAATGTTTTGGACACGCGACACATTTCAAATGTCAAATGTGTGGTGATCATTCGTAATCTGTGGCGATCATCGTTCGGTGGACAACTATGAAAAGTGATTGACACAGATTATGGCAAGAGAACATTACAAGGTATTACAGTTCTGTACCGTTGAAATTACAATGTTTCGTTAGGTATAGTCGAAGTTTAGGAGACCCTGTAGTTACGTCATTTGATCCTTGCGTACCCTTTACTTAATGGGGATATGACTTTGTATATAGAATGGTCCTAAGGCTTGAAGCCGGCTTTTTACGTGCCTTAATTATAAATATTATTATTTTTGTAAATAATCATCATAGATGATAGATCCGTTTATGTGATAGGTGGGCGTTTCCATGTTGTATTTCAGTCTGTTTAAATATTATGTATATTATATTATGTTTCTTTTGTTTGTTTTTTTTTATTATTATTATTATTTTACCGCTTGCAAAGTGACGGTCTAGTCCCCGACGTTGTAAAAAGGGCTTTATTGCGTGCACCGTAAGGCGCCGCTCGACCAACAAGCTATGAACCAAAGTTTTTTTTGTATCTACGCCTGATAGATTGGTCAGCGTTGTAACCGTGTCCTTTATTTTCGTTCCCATTATTGGTTTCGAAGCGTTCGTTGCTTTAGAATGAGTAGAGAACGAAGTTACATGAAATAAAGATCACTTATTCCAACTTACGGTGTTTGTTTCATTGTCTCCGTGTGCCTGTAGGTTATGACTACCAGCTTTTGAAGTTGAAACGAATTATTAGTTGTGAACAGTTGATAAAAAATATAACTGACTAAATGAGACGATTCTTTCAATGCAATTTCATTCATAAAGTGTGATTTTTTTAGATAAATGATTTGCTCTGCGGGATTCGAACCTGTCCCTTCGCTTTATCAACTAAGCTAAGCGGCCGATGAACTAACGGCTCCAATTTTATTCAATTTTAGATTTAATTATTTATTTCAAAATTAGCATCCATGTAGCAGAATATCTTGTTATTAAACGATGTAATTATTAGAGCGATATAGACATATGTACGTATGTATGAATCAGAATTAGAACCCAATTCTCGAGTATGACAGCCAGGATAAAGTTGGCGATTACTTCAGTTTTACTGGTACAAAACTAAGTTATACTAATAGTTTCTTGAATAGCGCAAGTTTATCTATTATTGTGTTTTGATATAAGCATATAAAAATCAGTATGCTTTAATTATTGTAGTTTTTTGTGTTTTGCTGATAGACTCTCTTATAGTACTTAGACTATAACAAAACTTCTTCGAACACAGTTCGTAGATAAGCTGAGTTTCCATGAGCTTGTTAGAACCTTTATAAGCCGAGTCACACATGTGCTCATGCGTGCATTAACAAAATTAATTAGACGAAATCCGCAAACACAATCACACGTTTTGAAATGTCGAGAATCTAAAAAAAAACATATTTCTTAAAACAATAAAGGGAACTACAAGTTTAATGAATAAACTCATTAATCTGAACAATTCCAAAATATTATAGCTTATAATTTGAAAGTGTTGTTAGGTAAACCGTTTAGTGCTGAATTCGTATATTGCACATAGGCAATATAAAAAAAGAACATTTAGTGTGAAAACAACTTTAATGTCGACGTTCACATAACTTTAACACAAGAAATGACACCGTTATGTCTTCGTATTTCTCTTTATTTTACGCAGTCTTAATTTTTAGCCATACCCACACATAGTGTTCACGTAAACCGAGGAATGTTGCCATAACACGTTCAAAACCCAAGAATACAGCAAACTACAGATTTTACATAGTGGTACACGAAATAAACTAAACATTCATTAGTATCCAATGCGCCGCTTATTGTTATACACAGTTAACGAGTTATTGTTATCAAATTACAAATAATAACATCATTATAACTAACACATTACGTATATATTATATGTTAAAATAAAATTGTCTCAATGTTCCCTAAAACAATTCGTTTTGACAACACTTATGGCCGCGAACGTACAATGAATCAAGGCGTAAAGCTACTGAATAAACAAGAGTACGTCATCAACTAAATTGAACCATTACTGATTATCAAATATTAAAGCGAATCAAACTAAAAGGAAATTACAGAAACATGAGGTCAAGCGATGGAAACGTAAATAAGGTTGAATTTGACATTAGCAAAAAGACAGCAAACAAACAATTTAGAAAACCGCACAATACATTGTAAATATTACTGTCCTCATTACAATTTACATTTCCAATAAATTACTACAACTTTTCCATCAGCACATTATATAAAATATCAGATGTACAAATATATAAAAAGTGCATAAATTGTTCCAAAAATGTGTATCAACAATCCATTGCTCCGTTCGCTAATGTCTACATATAATATTATTATATGTTTATATATAATACATATATATTCGTAAAATACGAGTTAGCAAATTAAACAATCTACCAATAATATGTTTTATGCAATAGCAACACAGCGCTTGTTCACGCGCCGTAACTTTTCAAAAGCCTTGCAACGGATACAAAAGTTTTGCTCCTTTTTAATATAATGCTAAATACGTACGTAAAACATGTACTCATTCTTTCAATATTCCTCAATAAGCTCTATTCGCTAAAATATCAATATTAACCTGAGAGAAATATTGAAATGCAATCAATTGGATTTACATAATTCTCAATCTTTAGGATAATATTAGACAGGCAAAACAAGATGACGTTATCATTAGAAAAAAAAATGTTTATATATGGAATAAATAGCAATTTCTCTAGCACAAAAAAGGATGTGACTCTTCAAAGATAGTGTCTGATTGACATCAATATTTCTTTCAGTTGTATACTATTTAATATAACGATTTAACAATGTTATAGAGTAACATTTACTTCCTATGGTACACTTGTGACTTACACGTATTTTTCGAATACTTCAAAGTCTTTAAATTCTGACATAACTGTAATTATCTTTTGTAGCAGTATTGTTTAATTATCTTGCTGCAACAATTTGCAATGTTTTCGTTTGACGTTTCGTTCTTTTATCTTTTTTTTGAAAGCTGCAGTAAAAGCCGGATTTATGGATTTGTTTTTTGTGTTTTTTAATCTGTGCACAAGGAAACGACAAATAGGAATTTTATTTCGCACGATAAAACATTTTTGCTGCTAAGTGAATTAGCACCTGCCCTCTATAGCTATGATTAGCCTCAGATCGGGGTCGAGTTAATAGACCAGTGTGTTGACACACGTCCTTGACAGCAACCAATGTCACGCGACGTTCATTAACTGTGACCCGACGACTGTTGCTGCCATGCTTGATAGAAAAAAAAATTAAAAACCTCACAACCCTCATCTGCAAATTAAGCGAGTTTAATGATCACTTAATTAAGTCACTAATTGGAATAGTATTCTTATCGCGTTTTTCGTTTATTTCACTTATAAAATACCAAGTACAACCAAAACAATAATCTAGCAACATCGTATATTTAATGTCGTAATGTTACTCTATCCCAGTTTTGTTCTTCAACAGTCAGTATGATACAAAACGGGCCTTTATACAAATATACATACTTCTATGATTTTTTTGCTACATAAGCGAGATACCACAGTGATGTCAACACAAAACACGTCAAAACAAATGATATAGGAACATTACTGTACAAACTAATAGCCTCGTTACAATTTATCGGTTAACACTGTCGCTCTGTAGATAACTTTCTTCTAACGATGTGACACAAGCACGATTCACCGTTCGCCGCACATCACTAATGTCAACGTCCACTCGCGCCACGCGGCTGCTATATCTCGTCTGAGTCCGATCTTATCGAGTCGTAGTTCGACGTTTTGCTCCTGAGCATCCTGAGGAAGGATCCAACAGCGAAAATTGTTCTTCGGTGCCTATGAAATATACCCTGATACAGCGCCTCTCTCAGCGCCTTCCTATCGTCCGTTATCGATGGCTGCGTGCTCAGCGTTATGTCTGAATGGGCACCGATCGCCTTCTGGTGCCTCAGGCCACCGTGCTTCTTCTCCAGCGACTTCTGATTGGGCAGGCTCATGGTGGACTCTATGGAGGAGTTCTTCGTCTTCCTCAGGTTCAGAATCTTCTTACTCGAGGACTGTGTTTCGGACGCGGAGCGGGTCGGCGCCAGTTTGGACCTATGCAGTGGATTGTTCGAGCTGTCTGGATGCACCACGACGTCGACGGACTTTTGGCTGACGGCGCTCGAACGTGTCAGTACGCGCTGCGATGTAGTCGCCTCCACTTTCGGCAATCGCTCCTCTTTTGGAATCGCCTGCTCAGGTTCTAACGCGAGCATCGTGAGCGTAGTGAGAGTGGGTAGCGCGGGTTGTCAATACGTCTTGTTCAGTCTGACAGTTCACAAAGGCGGGCGGGACTCATCGGTGCTGTCAACGGACGGCACGGACAGGTGGACAGCTACGTCCGAGTTCCCCGGCGTGTCGCCCTTCGGCCAGCCGTCGCAACAGTTGCTGAACGTTATCCTGGGGACGTTCGCATCGCAGTCTATGCGCACCGCGTCCAGGTTGTTTATCAGCCTGTCGACGTTGATATCAGGGTCGTTAGTTGGCCGTTGGTCGGGGGTGGACATGCTCGGAGAGAGCCATTCCTTCCCCTGGGCTGTAAGGGCCTCTGGCTCCGGCGACGGGGCCCGTTCGTCGCGGCACGGAGGCGACAATCCCTCGCCGTTCACGTGCAGCCCGATCAGATCGGTCAAGTTAACTTTGAAGTTCCTGTTTCGTTTGTGGCTCGATTCAGACACGTGGACCTCGTCGGCGATTAGACGGTCGGTGATAGTCTCGATTTCCTTTTGCAGATCCTGATCGTCCTCGTAGAACTGGGAGAGGTCGTGGAGGTTCTCATACCAGTTGTCCCCTAAAAAGCTGGGCGTGGGGCAGGCTGGCTCGTCGACTGGCTGACGTCGGTATCGCTCGACAAGCGGCTGCACCGCTTGCTCGTGCTGCTGAAACAGCTGGTGGTACGCCTGACTGGCCGCCTGCAGCGAGTAGGTGGAACGGGGTCGCGGCAGCAGCGATGCGGACGGCGTGTGTGCGGCTACGCTGCCCCGCCACACGTGGCCCTGGTCTCGTTCCCACAGCGCCGCATTAGCGTTTAGAATCCTTTCAAAGTCGGCCACTTGTTCGGCTTCGCTTATCTGCAACAGCAGCCTGTTCTCCGTCCCTTTCGAGACGTCGACCGTCTGGCACAGCCTCCTGCTCTCGCCTACCTGTTTGGAATCAGAAATTTTGGGTTTATTATCTACGGTGCTGGTGCTTTGCGGGTGTTTGGAGGTTGAACGGCGGTCGTAGCGGGTCGGTATTGAGATGTTCTGAATGGAGAGTTTCAACGGGACCTTGTCGATTACGTTTCTCTTTTGCTGTCTGACGACGATTTCGCAGGGTTTGGGCGCGCGTTTGGCGCCAGCGCGGGGCGGGCGAGTGCGGACGGACTGTTTCTCCGGGTACCGGGACCGATTAGCGTCCGCGCTGTGTACGGAGCGTACATACTGAGAGCGGGGCCTGTCCGCGAGGCAGACGCTTTTAGCTCGCAGATGCACGGCGGGCCGGTCTTTCGGGGCGTGAGCCAGCTTAGGGCGGGCCTTGGGACTGCTATGAAGCGCACGGGCGCCGAGCCGCCGCGGTCTCGAGTGACTGACGACCCCGCGAATTTGAAAGTGAGCGCAAAAAGTAATCTATCGCGATAGCGTGCCGCGGTCAATCGATTCCGACCGAACGCCTAAATAAAGATGAGCACAACATTCGCCGAATGCTCTGTGCACGGCAGCCGAGCCGCATTTTTTACGATCGCGACTTCGTAAGTATATTCTTACGGCTGTTGTTATACTTTCCAGTCACATACAAACGGGACGTCGCTTCAAGGACGTTTATGTTACGCTCGATCGATTTTTTGTACGTTAGTTTATTATGACGACAATGGCATTGTGCAAATATATGGTTGTTCTTAAGTCTGATAACGCGTGTTTATTTTGTATACTTATGTAGAGACGCGCCCCGGCTTCACACAGGTGCAATGTATTATACATATAAACCTTCCTCTTGAATCACTTTATCTAGTAAAAAAACCGCATCAAGATCCGTTGCGTACTTTTAAAGATCTAAGCATACATAAGGACAGACAGACAGTGGGACGACTTTGTTTTATACTATGTAGTGATAATAAATACGAACCTAAATTCTTTACCAACATTCACCGTAAAACCGTTTTAAATCTTAGGCAAGTGTGGCAAAACTTCTACTGATCCAAAGTTGACCAGATCAAGTACACAAAGAAAAACCTAAAATGCGTAAACAAAAACGTATTCAGAAATATCTGCAAGTGCGGTCATTGGATCCATTGGTTACAGTTTTTGAAACGGCGAGATATGGTTAGACTGCGGAAAAACTTCACGAGAGACGCCGTGTTCGTGCTGCATTTCACAGTTGCTGGCAATCGTCCAACATCGTAATATGATTGCTACAGATGTCGCGGTGTCTGAGCCGTGATCCGCCATGTTCCCAAGAATCACGAATGTTTTTTTGGGAAACTGGTTCACGTGGTCCATAGTGATAGCAGCCACCCATGGACATCTGCAACACCCCTAAGGTTGCTGATGCGTTGTCACCTTTTAATAATGTGGGCCCCAGTTACCTCACATACCAGATGTATAACACGACCGCTATGTGGTATCGAGGTCATGGTACTTGACCGGACGAGGCTATCCGTGCGTGCAACAGCAAAAACTGGTGGTACCACATTTTAATTTTATTTTCGTGATAATAAAGTCTAGTAGACATTTTCTTTTACACTCCGAGATTTTATAAGTTAAAAATACACTCTGTTATCTGTTAAGTAATTCATCAAGTAATAAGGCCCATATTCCCGGAAAGGGTGAAAAACTCTGTCGGTCTAATTCATAATAAGTTATGGGACGTTTAAAAGCTCGTTATAAGTAGATTGTCAAAAAGTGTTATTGTTATTAGTCCTATCCATAACGATAAAACGTTTATTAACTCTCCGATAATTCTTTGATTAAGTCAAGCTAGGGCCCTATACTAAACCATCGACAAATAATTAATAAACGTAGGTATATTAGCAAAATACATGGCCGATTTTGGTCAGCTGATTATTGACGTTTACAATGACATTGTTTCGACTTTCGAATAAATCCGACATCGAAAGTCGCAACGCTTAATCCCATTTTTATTGTTAAAAGAAGTTTACGTTAGTTTTCGTAATTATGCAAGATTTATAAACCCTTTATGTTATAGCTTGTGATGCTAGACTGTGAATCAGGGATGTTGCTGCAAGGTGGCGAGGATGCACTCATGATGCACGGATTTTTAATGAATCCATCCTTAAAGAAGTGTGAAAACTGCTTGGTGAATGTGGATATAGATTGTAGCCATAGTTGTTTACACCAGTATTACATTCATGTAACTATGCTGAAAAAATTATAATGAGGCATATAATGCAACAAGGAATGTTATAGAACATTGTTTTGGTGTATGGATACAGCACTTTTAATGCTTGCTCCATGGCATGTCTGTGAGATTTGGCAATGTCAAAACTACTGTTTTGGAACTTGCTATTTTGCACAATGTTGCAATTGCAAATAATCAGACAAATGTGATGGAAGACAATGATCCTAATACAGAGGAGCTACTGGAACAACCAGTTGACATCGACTCAAACGATAGAAGAGGTAGAAATGCTGCAATCTTGCAAGCTTTTACTTCAAGGCACTTTAATGAATAAAGTTCTCCCTATTTGCAGGTAAATGCTTGAATAAAACAAAATAAGACAATCAATATAATTTACTAAGTTTTTTTTTATAATATTCTATTTTACATTTTAATAGATCCTTCTCCAAATTCAAATTTTCCGTTCTCAAATTTTCATTTTTAACTTGCAACACATGCAGTTCTCTCCTGCATTCGAGTTCACAAGCGGCAACTTGTTCTGCAGGTGACACAACTTTGATGTTTGACACATGGATCTGAAGCAATACAATATAATTTAAACATTCTTTTACAACACGTTTTTTCTTGATATTAGAAAATTTTTATATACCCTTTTCTCTATTTTTCTAGGTTTTGGACCCAGCAATTCGGAACCCGAAGGTGTTTGAGGTGGTGGTGCCTCTATATTGTCCACATTAAGAATTTTCTGAAAAAAAAAAAAAATCATGAATATTTATATAAAGAAGTAATGTGTATTAAAGCAAGTTGGTTTGGTTTTGTTTTGTTTTCCAAAGTCATTCTAAAAACAAAGATGATAAAATCATTTGATTCCAGCATTACACAACATAGGTCACTCTTTTGCTGTAGAATGCAGTTGTTTTATGTGACTGACTATTGTCTTTACATTGTGGCGCCATTTTAAAAATTGCGTGTCTACATTAACATGGATTTTACTCGGGAAAATTTTCGTAGTATTTGTACGATTTTAAGTGTTATTTGACAGTTCAGCAGAGCTTCGCTCGGCTTCGATCTGCCTTTGGCGATGAATCAGATGACTAGAAGACTATTTATATTATTAGGTATTGCGGAATTCAAGCGCGGTCGTTTCAATCTCAGCGACGATCTCGCGATGGTCGCCCGTCCACCGCTGTGAAAGTGTGAAAACATCGATATGCGATAAGCGCCGTATGACCTAAACAGACAGGCATATGAACTACCATGAGATTTGGGCATCCTTAGACATATTCAAGAGTTAAATACGATCAATCCTACACAAACATTCGAGTGTTAGAAAGTTATGCTCGCCGTGGATCACAATTTGACCGAGGCTTAAAAAACGGTGGTAGGGCCACGCAGCCGCCTCGGCGGTTGCACGAATGGGCAGGCTCGTCCGGGTAAGTACTACGACCTCACAGAAGACCGGCGTAAAGTAGAAGTATAAAACTTTCGCGTTTCGTCTGGAAACGAGGTGGCCGGAGCCCAATTTTCAAAAGGTTGCTTAAAGGTTGTGTGGTACTTGGCAATGCCATGCTTACCAGATTCAACGAAGGAGCGTCAAATTTGGCGTGGGACAAAGTAACAGGTGACGAAACATGGATTTATTGCTACGATCCCAAAACAGCAGCAATTAAGCGTATGGCTCTTTCAAGATGAGCCGAAACTAAACAAAGCGGCCCGCGTGGAAAGTGCATCTAAGCGGATGATTGCTTCTTTTTGAAAAAATGGACACGTGGCTACTGTTGCTTTAATCGTCGTACTGACAATAGTGACTGGTACACGATTATTTGTTTGTTTTGCCGGAAGTTATTGACGAACTGCGTAAAAATAACCGTAAACTTCGGTTATTTTTACGCATTATTTTTAACTATCATCTTGCACCACGACAATGCTAAAGTTTGTTAAATATACGATTGTACGCGGGACATGACATTAATAAATTAACGTGACATTACGGAATAAAGTACCACATTGTGTTTCGTACATTTTTTGTTTAAAAAATACGGAACTCCATATTTGTATGTCAATGTCAATGTCCCGCGTGTCAACCTATATTTAACAGACTAATTCCAACACGGCCGGACGGACAAAAGATTTTTTGAAGGTGAAAAATGTAGAACTTATGAGCCATCATGCATACAGTCCCGACCTAGCAAAACCTTATGACTTTTTTGTGTTCTCAATTAAGAACCGATTAGGCGGTCAAAGATCAGGCTCATCATCACCAGAAGAGGCTGTGGAAGAGTATGAAAAAGACGTTAGGACACCAATGGCAAAAATGTTTACAAAATAGGTTAAATCGAATGAAAAAGTGCATTTACGCAGAGGGAAAATATTTTCAGAAGCGATAAATTAATTTTTGACCTTTAATTTTTTTTTTATTATTCATTCCGGAAACTTTTTTACACCCCACGCATATCCATAATTAAAAGAAATTTGAATTACAATTATCATATCATTTAATTTGCCAGAATTGGAGGGATGTAATTTATCCTGTAAAGATGAATTTCAATTTAGAAGTACACAATAGTATTCCTCAATTGTAATCACTTTGATTGCAAAACAATGAAGAAGAAAACAAAAAATGTAAATTACCTGATTTATATTATCAGAGTCAAATTCATTTGAGTCAATGATGAACTTGTTAGGAAGACAACTACTGATATCTTCAGATGTTGTTTCTGGAGCTTTGGTTTTTTTTTCTTTAATCTTTATAAGTCCCCATTGCGTTTTAAGTTGTGTAACTGTGCGTGGGGGCCCTTTACACATACAATTAAAACTGAAATTAAAGTGAAATTTGTTTAAGAGAAAATCTCATGAAATACAACCAAATTTTCTAATATTTGTGATTGTTACGGAGCCGTGATGCTAATTGTCCGCGCGCTCGCTTTTTGCTCAGCGGTGAATGGAAATATCGTGAGGAAATCTGCATATTTTTGAAATAATAAAAAAAAAATCGAAGATAAGTCTATGAGAAGTTTGCCAATCATGAGGCTGCGTGGTGGACTATGCCCGGGATATTAACCCTCTGTACAGAGGAGGCCTTGCCCAGCAGTGGGACATTTATAGGTTTTACTTTTTTTTATGATTGTTTGACAGTAATAGCGAAATTAGATTAATAAACCTCTCTTTTAAGTCATTCCACGCCGCCACCTTCGTTGCATTGGTGCTAGTGTCGGTGTTTTTATTTTCGATGGCATGTCCCCGCTCCCTCACCAAATCTTTCAAGGTAATCTTAGAAAGCAAAAACAATTTTTAGTAGGTAAGTAATTCATACAGAAAATTACAATACGAATTTCCAGACATGCGAATATAACAAAATTTTAATACCCACCTTATCTTCCTCCAGCCAATTTTCACTTCTCTGCCTTTTTTTTCTATTCATGTTCATTTTACCAGTTTAATAATTTGTTGACACCGAATGATACTATTAGAACAAACAGGAAAGTTGACACGAATAACGTTCAATATGTTTGACAAAAGAGATAAAACGCATTTGAAATACTTTTCTACCATTCACATGTCACCATTCTTCTGCGAAATTGCAACATTGTGTTCAATAAAGATATTTTAGTTATCGGAAGTTTATCAAACGATTACGAACAAAGATATTTACCGAACGTTCGATATGCTTAAAAGACTTTTTAACTAATAAAGGTTTATTTATAACTTCGATAAACGTTTTGTTATGAATGAGACTATAGCGATACATAATGGTATAGTAATTACAGATTATTTCGAAATAATTTAATTTGATCATTGCAAGAACTGATAGAATAATCAGTAATGAGTTAATCGTAATTATTTCATTAGGTTTTAATTTTTAACACGCTTTTATTAGCTTTACCAGTACGTTTGAATGTATGTTTGTAACGGTATCTTAGAAAACTATTTTTACCCACTTAAATACATATATCGGATTAATTGGAAACTTTGCACACTTTACAAGGACAGCTTAACGATAATTAAAATAAATATTAAATGAAATTAATGTATTTGTAAAGAACCGTGGAGTTCTCGATATGGATTGTGATAACATCTGTAATTGTGACATTAATTATGTTTTGCTTTTTGTTTTTTTTCATTATTATTTATTTTTCGGTTCTTTTCTGCTTTGAAAATCATCGCCCCTTTGTAGGGCTGATTATTATAAGTTGTAAGAGCAAGGATTGTTTCGAATACACTAAGACTCATAATCGCCTATACATAAAAAATGTATAACAAATCGTCGATGTACGATGTACCTACCTTAATAACTTATCTTCGTATGTCCAACTTATCTAATCCATTGTGATTTAAAATACGCATAAATACCGCGGTTATTTCAAATCACAACGGATTCTATCTCAGGCCAAATGCAAACGAAGAACGATCGCTAAAACACGGGGTTATCATCAGACGTTATAGAGGGTCACCAATGGTCAGGCATAATTGTAATAACTTTACTCGAACAGCTCAAGCCACCGGTGGCGGGTGGAGAAGCCGTCTAGAAAGCCTTGAGGCCGATCAAATTCTCAAAGCCTTCTGCAGCGTCGTAATTAAATGTTTGGAAGTTGATATTATTGCCAAACTTCGTGTGCTCGGAATAACGGAACCTAATATTATTGCGAGCGCGCGTTTTTTGTTTGTTTATTTTTTTGCATATACATAATGCACAATACAATGGATGATTAATTGACAGGAATGAGCGGTTCCTGAAGGTTTGATCTTGATTTTTTTGGCATGATATACCACTGTTGGCCTTAGGGGCCTTTAAAGATCCGTCAGATTTGAGCTGGCAGGGCGCTCGGGGCTCCTATTATTATTACGCTTTATGGTGACAATGAGCCGTGATAGCTCAGTGTCCGGGCGCTCGCCTTTACTCCAATATACTCGAGCAACCGGAGTTCGATCCCCGGTGCCGGCACCAATGAAGTTTTAAACTTTAAGAGCTGACTGCGAAACGAAACCTTCACATTTTCGAAATAATAACAAAAAAGAATATTTCGAAGATATGTGAAGTCCGCCAATCCGCAGTGGGACCGCGTGGTGGACTATGCCCCGATACCCTCTGTATAGAGGAGGCCTTTGCCCAGCAGTGGGACATGTATAGGCTGTTACATGTCACGCTGTTATTACTCTCACCGGTTCGGGAGGCCGCTAAGCTCTTAGGGCGCTTTGGTGAATGCTCCATTGAGTGACTAGGCTCAAGGGCCCCCGAGAGGGGACCTCGTCACTCACTCAATACTCGTTTAGCATGCCGATTCGATGGTGCCAGAGAGAGCCGGACCTGGGCTCGATCGGTAGCTATTATCTGACTGGATTTCACATAAAAAAATCACTTACAGGCTGATGTTTCAAAAAAACTCGATTAAAAACTCGACCGGCAGACTGATTAGATTTAAGGCAAAATGATCAAATATCAACTTTATAGTAAAAGTGGTATAGTTAAAGTATAGAAGATAGATGATAAGCCTTTCGTGGTCTAGTAAGTCATAGTTATTCTGTATATATTAATTATAGGTACTTATAATCAGTGCAGAAAACAATTACTCCGACTCATAGTTCGCCTAAAGCACGAACTTAAATTTTGTGTCAAATATTTCCCTCACAAGTCGATTTACTGTTTGACCAAATTGAATTTACCCCTGTTCAGTCGACATGCAATCAGCAGACGAAGTGACAAATAACGGCAGACTTATCTGACGATCCGTATTCAAGATCTAGTAATAACAATTTGATTATCGCTAAAGCTTTCATTTTACGTAAGCGTTACACGATTTTTACGGTCAATTCGGAATTCTGACTTGGCTGCAGACGAGCCAACTTGTCCCAACTTCGGCTTCAGGGTCAGTCGGCCAAGAGCTTACGCAAGAGTGGGATAGGAACCCGATGAAATGCGGAAAACCCTGTTTTCAACAGTGATTATTTGGCCACTCTTAGCAGTAATAGAAAATAGTATTCTTTCTATGAGTGCAAATTTGAACAGATCTTAACACAGAAAGAGAAGTTGCCAAACGAGCAGAAGGTTCACCTGATGGTAAGTGAATACCGCTTCCCATGGACATCTGCTACACCCGAGGGTTACAGATGCGTTGACAACCTTGAAAGTATCTGTCATAATTCCACTTTACGCTGGACTTCTGTGTGGTCGTGGTACTTACCCGGACAGGTCTGCCCATTCGTGCAACAGCCGAGGCTGCTGCGTGGCCCTACCATCGTTTCACAGGTTGTTCAAAAATTCAATTTTTTTGATTGTTTACTTTATAAACATTACAATCATATAGCAAGTTACGTGACAATAATAATCACAACGGTTGACAACCATAGTTGACATTGACAGTTGACTGTCAGAACGAGTTTGCCAGACTCATCTTGTCTTTGCGTTCTGTTGTTGCTTTATTAGGAGAAAGTGCTATTATTATTTTTTTAATTAACGATATCATTACCGTTATGTTGTTATTACCAACTAATGCTATTTCGGATTTAGGTATCATTTGACAAATAACATATTTTTTTCTTTTGTTTTCTCTTTTACAATATTTATTTATTAGTAGCTCTGAAGTATTTACGAATACTTTTAGCGGTGTTAATCTCTTTCAGACTGCTGTTGGGTTAGGGACCTGTTATTTTTTTTACTTGTTTTTGGTATTTTTATTCAATTTAATATTTATTTATTTATAATTATACTATTATATTTATTTTATTATATTTATTTTATATGATTTTAGTGATTTTTTTGTCGTTGCCGTCAAATGATTGTACCGCTAGTGAGGTAAGTTTTCACAGTACAATATCTTACATAGCTAATTCTATCAGATTTATTTTTGGTCTTCGCAAGTAATACCATGTCTCCGAATATCGTACAAAGCTCAAGTGGTTACCCATTCGCCTTCGCCGGAATCTGCATATTGTTTCTATTCTGTACTGTGTTTTGTTCAATCCTATAACTCCGAGTTATTTGAAGGAACGGTTCAAATTTCTTGGTCATGACAGACCAGAAAGAGTTCTGCGATCAGCCAGAGAACTTATTCTCGCCCCGCATACTTTCCGGACTAACTATTTCATGAATTCTTTTACGGTCAAAGCCATTTGCCTATGAAACGCGCTTCCTCCACAAATTCAGCGCTCAAAAACATTAAGAAGTTTAAAACTGACGTTAAAAGTCGCCTTACAGTGTTACATGTAACGCTGTAGGATTATAGGAAGATAGGTATTTTTGTATTTATTATATGATAATGTATCATAAAATATAAAAATACCGGAAGTCAAACATTTTTTCTATTAGAAAAATAATATTTTAACTAAAATAAACGAAAACAGTGTGATCAATTATTAATAATATAATGCAAATAAAAATACAGTATTCATAAAAAAATCAAAAAAAATTAAACCAGTATTTTTAACCAAGGAATAATTTATTTAATGGCAACACCAACGCCCCTTCCATTAGTTTAATTTATCGCCGTTAAAATTAAATTAAGAACGGTGATCATTTTGTCGCGCAATATTTCCCGCCACTATCGAATTCGAAATGGACGCGCTAATTGTGTATGATTTAGCGCTTCGCGATGGCCCCGCGCCAACTTTCGAATTCCGAAATCGAGTGATGACAATAAGCCGAGAAATGTCGGTTTTGCGCTAGGGTTGGGACAGCAGTGGATGCTAAAAGGATACTATATTACCGATAATACCGATGCATTTTAAATGTCATAAAAATACTAATCACCGTTCAGCCTTTAAAGTCAAGTCGCGAAGTCATACGACCTCTAAAAACTGCCGTCATATTTGTACTTTGTCACCAATTACCAGTAATTGGTACTATTATAATTAATGGATATTGAAAACCGCTATATTATCAACTAGCGACCCGCTTCGGCTTCGCACGGGTGCAATGTACATATTGAATTCCTCGGCTTTTCTCTACTATACTACATATAAACCTCTCGCTTGAATCACTCTATCTATTGCTGAAAACCGCACTACTATGTAAAGAAAACGGGTATTTGTCCAAAATATATTAAATCTGTTTATTATTTCTGTAACAATCTAAACTTTTTTTTATAAAATTTTAAGACTTTTCATCAAAGATGATCTTTGATGCGTGAATTAAATTTGAAACAACTTTTGGATTACCGACCGATTTGATTCGGTTACCTACATTGAAACGTGAAACTTTTTTTACTAAATTTTAGATTTAGATCCATTTCTCTGAAGCTATTATATGTCAATGAAATCGTCTATGAACCATTTAAATTCGATAACCTTGCCTGACTCACTGACTAGTACATCGTTTTATCGTATAAACTGATTTAGATTTATCCAGGCTACTTTATAAATCTAGTGTTTTACTTAAACTATGTAAGGAGAAAAAAAAACGGCTCACCCTGTATCGCGTTCCAGCCGTCAATA